TTCTTCATTTCAGCACTTTGAATATGTCACTCCATTGTCTTCTGGTCTCTGTTGTTACTCAGGGGGAAGTGAGCCAGTAGTCATATCACTGATTTCTGTTTTTGCTGTGTGATTTTTCTCTTGTTGCTTTCAAGATTTTCTCCTTATCTTTGGCTTTCAAGAATTTTACACTGATTTGTTTCAGTGTGATTCTCTTTGTTTGCATTTCTCTTATTTGGAATTTATTGTGCTTCTTGCATCTATAAATAGATATATTCTGCCAAATTTGAGATATATTCATTCATTATTTCATGAAGTATTTTTTCCTGCCCCCTCCTTCTGAGACTTCAATTGCATGTATGTTGGAATGCCTTATAATTGTCCCACAAATCTTTGCTGAAACTAGGTTCATTTTTTTCTCAATATTTATTTCACTCTTTTTATCAGATTTGATAATTTCTAATAATCTGTTTTCAAATTTACTTATTCTTCTTGTGCCATTTCAGATTTATTGTTCTATTCTTTTATTTATTTATTTGTTTATTTATTATGATTTGGGTGAAGATTTACAGAGCAAATTCACTTTCCATACAGCTGTTCACATATACTTTGTCTCATGTCATTGACCACAGTTTACCACAATGCAACAGCTCCCCTCCCATTTCCTCCCCATAGTTACCTCTTCCCAGTGTCCATCCCTCCATACACTCCTGCCCCCCTGAGCTGTCTCCCCATGCATAAGCAGCCCTTCTTTCTCCCATGATTGTTCTCTCCAAGGAGTGTATATTGTTCTATTCTTGAATGTGTATTAAATTTTATCACATACACGTTTTGTATCTGTTGAGGTGACTGTGTGATTTTTCTCCTCTAATCTGTTACTGTGATGAATTATAAACCAATATCACATTCCTAGGGTAAACCCAAACTGGTTGTAATGTATTACCTTTTTTATACACCATTGGATTCAGTTTACTCCATTTCATGTAGGATTTTTATGTTGATGATTACCAGAGAGATTAGCCTATGGTTTTCATCTCTCCTACTGAGTTTCCCTGGTTTAGTATGAGCTGAATGAAATGATTGGGTATGGAGCAGTATATTCCTTAATATGGCCCTTCTAGTCATAGTCCTTATAACTCCCACCAAATGATTGTGTGGTACTATGCATATAAGGTGCTTATGGCCCACCAAGGGGATTGAACAGCTTGTTAATGTATTAATAATATGGATCCCTAATGAAGGGATTGGTCAGTTTTGTCAGTCTGCTAGGCTTAAAATAAGCCATTGCAGAGATGGAAAGGGGCGGTGGGGACCTCAGTACAATAAAGAAAAAAGAGCTGAGAGTGGATTGAATACTTTAGACCCAAGAGACAGAGAGAGAGAGAGAGAGAGAGAGAGCTATAACACCAAAGATGGTGAGAGTTGGTGAGAAGTAATGGCAGAGAAATAGTGGCAGAAGATGCAGGAGAACCGGGAGACTGGCAAGAGACAGCACAGTGGGCTTCCAGACCCAGGGAGCAAGAGAGCTGAGTCCTTGCAGGCAGAAGGCTTGCTGGCAGAGTGGGATGTTTCCAGGCACCTGGTGGAGCTAGGCTTGCTAACCCACGAAGCTAGAGAGCTGAGAGCCTTCAGGCCAGGGCTTACAGGCAGGATAGGGTGCCTCTGGGCAGTTATCAGTGCAGCTAAGAAGCTTTGTAATGCTTGCCTAGCAGGGCAGAGGCCAGGCCAAGAGCCAGAGAGAGGGCTGCCTGTGGGCACAACTGAGAAGAAGCTGTCCAAAGAACTACTATATCCTGAGTCATATGTTATCCTTAATTGTCACTTGTTATTTCCCTGATAAATCTCCTAATTGTGAGTATTATCTGTGAGTTCTGTGTGGCCATTGCAATGAATTATCAAACCCAGCAGAAATGTAGAGAGTACTGTGGAACGAATGGTTAGTATCAGAGTTGGTAAAAAGGTTGGAAAGAGGAGATACATCTGATCTCTGCCTCACAGGAATCAGCCTTGGACTTTTGATCTTAATTCTGCTTCTTTATGTAGTTGGAGGAGATCAGATGCCCTTGCCACACCATTATTACATCGGAGAATGTTCCTTTTTTTTTTCAGTTTGTGTAAATGTTCCTTTTTTTTTTTTCAGTTTGTGGAATGGTCTAGTTTATTTCCTCTGTTCTTTTTTTTCCCCTTATTTGTTTGGAAATTATATGCTATCTTTCTTTAAGCTAAACTTGAAATTAAATTTTTGGCTTTTGATTTTTTTAGACCACACCAAGAGTATGAAGTTTAGCCCCAACCATATGTGAAGGCTAGCTTGTGGTTAGAAATTCCCTCACATCTAAAGTAAAGCCTTAAAAAACCCAAAACCAAACCACTGCCAAAGAGTCAGTTCTGACTCATAGCAATACCCATTGGTTTCCAAGGCTGTGAATCTTTACAGAAGTAGATTCCTTAGTTAGGTATATATCCGTACCATCTTCCTCCATATGCTCAATTTAGTTTTTAGTTTCATCCACTAAGGATATTTCCTCTTGGGAGGTACAGTTTATGTGGAGGTCTCTGATACAACCTTCCTACCTCATGAGGGCTGTAGGCTTGACTTCAATTCCTTGAGTCTTTCTACAACCGTAGTTCTAGGTCTCTGACTAGCAAATGCCACCAGAGCAAGCACTAGCTCCAGGGCTCATTTATTTGCTAGATTCACACTTTATGACATTTCCCAATACGTTCAGGCCTTTGAGGAATTCCTTTACCTTCCTGTCACCTTAACTATCAGTTTAAATATCTGTATCTGTCTGTCTATATAAATTTTCAATTCAGTATTTTTTTTTTTAAACTAGGAGAGTTGCTCTAGAATCCTAGCCCACCATTTTGCTAGAAATGAAAGTTCTCTCTCTCTCTCTCTTTATATATATATATATATATATATATAATGCCATTGTTTTGTGATAAATCAGCTGTAGAAGCCACATTTGAAATCAAAGTCTCAGATGTGTGGTAATTTTTGGAAAGTCCTGTACTATCTATCCATCAAAAGCTTTTCATTGGGCCTTGGGCCTGATCCTATATGAAGTTTATATTCTATTAGCTAAATTTTATCTTTCAAACTTTCAACCCATCTACATTCACACATTTAACAAGAATAGAAAATTATGATTGAAGGCATAGAGCACTGCTTCCCAACTTAAGTTAATACAGAACTAGTGGCACAACCAGTTAAGCTGTTGACTACTAACCAAAAGGTTGGCAGTTCAAACCCACCCAGAGGCACCTTGGAAGACAGGCCAGGTGATCTGCTTCCAAAAGGTCACACCTTGCGAACCCTGTGGAGCAATTCTGCTCTGCATGCATAGGATTGTCATCAGGTAGAATCGACTCGATGGCAGCCAACAGCAACAGTGACAAAATTCTTCAGACTCCAAAAGTAGAAAAAAAGAAGTTGACTATTTTTTTTTAGCTTTATTATGTGCCAAATAGTATTTGAAGCACTTTATGTGTATTGTCATGTTTAATCCTTATACATGCCTTATACATTTTTATTAGTAATTTCTTCATTTTACAGATAATCAAAGCATGGATACCTGTTGCCATTGTTTCAGTTTCAACTCATAGCGACCCTGTAGGGCAGAGAACTGCCTCGTTTGCAAGGCTGTAAATCTTTACAGAAGCAGACTGCCACATCTTTCTTCTGCAGAGCAGCTGCTGTGTATTGACTGCCTACCTTTGGTTAGCAGCTGAGTGCTTAACTACTGTGTCATCAGGGCTCCTTAAAGCATGGATAACTTTACCAAAATCATCAATAAATGCTGATGCTAGGATTTTTGATTCAGGCATTCTGACTCTAGCCTATAGTCTTAACCACCATGCTATGCTGAAAATGCTGATTGCCAGTGCAGGCTTAGGAATTGGTGTGAGGAAGATGGTGTTTTCTAAGAGATGCAGTGGAAGTGGAATAGGAAAGCAGATCTTAGTGCATTGCCTAAAAGAAGGGCAAAGCATGTAGGCTGGTGTGGTAGTTAAATTTGTATGTCAACTTGGCTGGGCCTGGTTGAGTGTCTGGGCAGCTGGTGATAGTTATTCCCCATGATGAGGCAATCAGCTCCATGGTAGGATCTACCACAAGCAGCCTTTGGGATGTGGGCTGCTTCCTGTATATAAGGAGAAGCCTTGGGGATAGTCTCTAGCTTATGGCACGCTTGGACCCTGCATGTAACTGTGTCATTGTTCAGTAGCCTGCCATGCTCTGCCGACTTTGGGACTTACAATGGACTTAAATTAATGGCCTGCCATTTGGTTTGGTAACGTCGGGACTGTACCTTTTTACTTGTCAACCTTGGGCTTGGCAGCCTCAGCAGCTAGCAGCTGTCTGAGTGAAGAAACGCCTCTAGTTCCAGTGGGCCAAGAGCAGGAGGCAGAGCTGGATGCCAAGGTTGAGGGGCTTTCACCCAGCCCCTAGAGCCTGGCACTTTGAACTTGGACTTAAAGCCTCCAAACTGTAAGAGAATAAACTCCTGTTTGT